GTATGTGTTTCTTTGCGTTATAATTCCACGTAGATTGCTGAAATGGATCCAACAGACCACTTAGCAGAGCTCAATATAACGTCGGAAAAAGCTGAAGAGCTTCAAAAAATTAGAGCGACATTGCCAACATTCACATCCACATCTTCGGTTGAAAGTGAATTAGCTAAGCTGCCTACGGAAGGACCTTTCAGAGCATTTGTTTACAATGTATCGTTTGCAGCTAAAAAAGACGAGGTCATAGAGTAAATATTCTTATTTTACGTTATCCGAACTTCTTAAAGATTTTTCTCCCCACTCAAGGTCACAGATGTTAATATTGTTGTTAAAGACGGTGAACCCCGTGGTTTCTGTTTTGTTGACTTTGCAAGTCGAGAAGATCTGGCAAAAGCTCTTGAACGCTCTGATTCATATCTGGCTGGTCGACAAGTCAACGTTCGCATTGCTGCTCCCAACAATGTAAGCTTTGTCACTAAAAGTATTTTCCGCCATGGTCTTGGAGCATTTATTCCTTATCATAGTTCCTTCTAACGGGTGATATTGGTTTTTTCGACATTTATGAATTTTTATTATTTTAAACTTTCATATTGAGGTAGTTTAAATGACTTTGTGTGTGAACTCAAACAAAATGCGGCCTCTTAGCATGTTTGCTTTTACAAGCCATATCATGAAGCTACTAAATGGATATAGTTCATGGAGCCCCATAAAACGTCCATTGGTTGGTCCGATTAATCATGGGTGTCTCCGATGCATTGCTCAAGTACCCTGAAACAACGAATTAAGCAATACCGTCGTTAGAAAACGAGTACTAGGTTTGGATGGCAGATCAATAGATGAAGAAATAGAACGTCAGTTGAGGTGGTTGGGACATGTGTTACATATGCCTAACCACCGACTGCCTCGCCGAGCTGTTTTGTGTTGTAGGAGTAGGTTGAAAGAAAGCTGGGGGTGGCCTGACCAAAACATGGCAGGAATCCATGAAATCACTAACAAGTGGACTGAGTCATTCTGGTTGATGTAGGCTGCCTGGTTGGGGTCCGCAAGACGATAGTAGTCTATGGTTTTAGACCAATAACATGGCTCAAAACCGTTTGCAGTGACGCAAGTGCATCCACTTTTTGTGTTCTCTCAAGTCCTAAACTTTTGAATTCTTCATCACCTTTACCTCTTTTAAGTTTATATCTCTAGATTCTACTTCTCAAACGATATCATCGAACCCTAAAATCTCCTGATACTGCTAATAAATCTACTACTATGGGATTTGAATTGACAATTGCGTCTTTGTGTTAATGTGGTATAGCAACTTGAACTGATGTACTGACTGACTGACGGATTAATCATCCTGTTATTTTGTGGTCTGGAGCTATGTAAAGCGATAAAACAATATGAACGTTTATCAGCCAACAAAAGAACCGTAAATCAACTTAAATTTTCTTAGGACCAGAAGCGTTTTTAGTAGTGGTTGTAGTTTCACATGAGGGATTCACCATTCTGTACAAGTCATCAACGCCATTTAAGTTTAGTTATTGCGATCTCTTGCCTTGACGTCTTCAATATCCCACCAGGAATTTTAGTAGGTTGTCACGTAAGTTTTTTTATTTTATATATGCCAATGAACGAAAACATTTCGGTAGACGAATGAAACTACAATCGGACGTCGAAAAGCACGTTTTTCTTACAGCACGTGACAAAGTGTGAATATGTGATCTATGCATCGACGTTCAGGTAGGAAACCAGCCTGGTGTACTCAGGTCTGCTATTCACGAACACTAGTCAGGCGTTGAAGTATTTTTAACTGTGATGTTCTGTGCACTATTAGATAGACTAATTCCTTGGTGATTGTCACAGGAGGACTTTTGTCCTTTCGTATAAATTGGGACAGTCAGGGATTGAGACCAGTTGTATGGGATTACATTCAGTTCCTAAATTCTACATAAGCTCTCAGTCAATCTCAGTTCTAAAACTGGACCACCATCTCGGCTCAATCTATCAGGACACGCTGCTCTCCCTTTCTCCAGATTTTCTGTCGCTTTCTCAACTTCATTAACAGCCGGACAACTTACATCAATTTGCCATTCTGGTTGACTGAAGATCGTGGGTGACAGAAGTGTGACTGAAGGCCAGTTGAACTGATCCCGAAAGTGTTCTGTCCATCGATCCAATATCCTGGATCGAGAATGAATAATAAGCCCATCCATTTCCGAGATAGTCTCACAGTCGGATTCGTATTACAGGTTTCCTTGATAAGTCAGAACATTTGTCTACTGTTGCCTATCGCTGCTGCCTTTTCCATCTCTCGCTTTCTCTGTTACTACTGTCTTCGATCATTGTGTAGGCTTTTTATCACCCTGTGCCTAAGCTGACTTCGCTCTGCATTATGTTCAGAGCCAGGTGGGATGAGTTTCCGAGCATTTGTCGGTCCGTTAGATGCTACTGAAATCCACCGTTTCTTCCTAACCTTAAGGTTTCCCTTACTAGCAGATATTACTGCCGTTTCCACAGCTTTTTGAATATCATCCCAAGCTGCCTCAGAGTGGGCATCATTTACATCGCTGCCTAACTTTTTCTATTTGTTCCTGAAATATATCCTTAGCTATGCTATCATTAAGTAGAACCCTGAGAGGTTTGCTTGTGACATCTTTCCTACGCCCAGTAAGCCGCAAACAAATACGCGCTTTCACCAGAGCATAATCTGAATCTAAACATTTGCTCCAGAACGAGCGGCAGTCTTCAGTGAAGCCTCTCCATTGATGACTGATTTGTAATATGGTCTAGTTGGGTCCACCATTGGGTCGGCTTTCGCGGTCGCCAGGTCAAGAGATGTTCTTCCTTTTGCTCAAAGGTGGTTCTCTATCCAGACAAGGTGAAATGTAGGTAATGATTTTACTGGGATCCTGTATACAAGCCATCTAGGCACCTATTTCATATGCTTTGCTTGTATTGTCTAATTACTCCTGCCTATGTGTGTCCACACAAACACGTAAATTGGTAAATGCAATGATATGTGATGTAATCGCTCGTACAATGTGTAGACTTATGTGGAATCACGTGCTTATTCCTTCAAATTACAACCAGTTTAGCAGGGTAGTATGTTTTATCGATGGTTGCTCTTGGCCTCGCTTAAAGTCCTACTGTTTGATTTGCCTCTATGTGATAAAGATTTATAAGTAATTTTCTCAGCAGAATTAGAGAGGTTTCTTTGTGTTGATTGACTCTTACACTTATTTATAAGCGTTAGTGGTTAACCATATGGAATCATTATTTCAGTCAACAGTTTCACATCGTCTTCAAATGTATCTGTAGTGTATATGTTTTGAGTCTTGTTGAAGAGGCATTTTACTAAACCTTGCTTGAGTTGCAATAGAGAAAAGCGGCAAAAATCTCGATATTGCCCAGTCCAAGTTGACTTCCTATTAACTGATCGCTTTACAGTTCCATTCTCCCTTTGAATTTCTATTTAATTGACCTTTATTGATTTTCATACAAAATGTACTGACAAGTATGTGTGACCAGATTATTCGAAATGTACAACGCAGATACATCACATTTTCCAAATCAACTCTGTCTTCTCATCTATCAAAATTAATAGCTTTCAATTATGTCAAGTGTACCAGTGTTTTCTAAGTGGTACTAAAGCTGTCAAGAAACTCAAAAAAAGATGTTTTCGCAATTTACTACTCCTGTATCAATGCAGAAACTGCACTAGAATATCAGAACTAGTTATTTTACTGTTAAACATTGACTCAACACAAAATAATTTATTCTTTAAATTATAGTCTGAACGAGGTGCTTTTGGACGAGAGAAGAATTTCCATTCTGGAATGCGTCGTAGTGAAATGCCTTTCGAGCGCCAGCGAGGTGGCTACAAACCTGCCGCTCTTCGGTATGTGGTCAGTTAGTCTGAAAAAAACATTCTGTTTAGTGTATATATATATGTAATTAATTGTTTCGCTGCTTCGATCAGTTACTTTTCATACATTTCCTAGACTTACATTAGGTATCAATCGATTTCGTGTGTTACGTTCACTGCTTATAGGTTAGAAAATTTTGTTGATGAATACCATGAGATATGACCGGTGACTTAAGGAACATCACAATGCACTTTCTTAGGCTGCTGGAGGCAATCAAAGCTAAGTCTTGAACCTAGACCCCCTATGAGTTTTAGCCCACACAAAGTGATTTCAACCTACAGCAGGATATGCCAAGGTAACTAAAGGTTAGTGATATCTCTCCTTCAATTCATTGAGTCAATGCAAAACAGTTAATCTCTTTTATAACTTCTATAAGTGTGATAGAAAGATAGAATTAGTCTGGAAAATGTAACATATTTACACAGTACATTTCTACTAATCTGACCACACATTTATTAACTGATAAGGCATTTTTGTGTATGAAAATTAAAAATATTTGAACAAATAAAATGAAGTAACTAAGAATACAGAGGACGACAGTCAATCAGTTTTCAGCACACTATTTAGAGATACTTCACCTTATACAATATTCACCACCCTAAAAATTTATTGATCGTGTTCTTTCATATAAAACATTCTAAGGTTTGAAAACTCAAGCTAAATTTATCCTAAGTAAGCAAAAAACGATTGTACCTAAAAGAAGTGTCTTATTTAGAAGATATGACCACCATAATTTCACTAATCTCTAGATAATGTAAGAAAACAGCTTAACAGTCGAGCTTTGCTTCTGATCGAAAAAGTTTGGAATTCTTAAATACCATTCGGAAGCAGAAAAAAAACTGTACCTCTTATCCATATTTCAACTGATATTTTTAATGAGTTTATACAATCATTATGAATTTCTTTTCAAGAGATTTCTGGAAACAAACTTAGCCACAAGATCGCTTCCATATGGAGTTGTTTTATATTTTCTCAACACACTTCTTTTCTAGTCAATCTAGCTATATTTTGTCCCTTGAGATGGTGGAGAAAACTTGTAGCTCAGGTGGATGATTGTGGTGGTGTTTTGTTCTCTGAGCTGGTTGTTTTGGTTGTGGAGCTTTCATTGTACTTCTGCTGACACATCATCAGCACAAACTTCAAATAGAGTAGTGAAGCATTCGAATTTCTCCACGTTTGACCTGTAGCTTGTTCTGCTAACCTTGATCTTGATTGGTTGCTGTTGTCCTTTGACTTGTCGTTGTTTGCACCTTTATTTTGATTGTATCCCCCTTTTCGATCTGTTTCTTGATCCAATGTTTGTCTATTGTTTTTCTGATTGGTTGATAACTTGGGTCAATGTCTATATGTTTGTTGATTACTGATTGACCTGAGTGCCAAGCTTCTAAAAATTCTCTAGTGTTCTTTATCTTCCCCTTATCCAGTATTTCCACATTGTTCCAATCCAATGTATGTCCATAATATTCGGTGTGTATTGATATAAGCGAAGAATTGTCATGGCCTTTAACTGCTAATTGATGTTCACGCAACCGAAGCTGAAGAGGTCGTCCACTTTGTCCTATGTAGTGTTTTTCATAGTTTGAGCAATTTATTTTGTAGATGATATTTGGTTTTTCTTCCTTTGTCATTTTGTCGTTTGGTCTACATAGGATTGATTGAAGTGATTCTGTTGGTTTGTGTGCCACACCTATTCCAAATGGTTTCAGTAGTCGTGCTGTATGCTCCGATATGTCTTTTATGTATGGTAGGATGGTGCGTTTATTTGTTTCTGTGCTTGATTTCGCTTCTGATAATGATTTCCGTTGATGTTTTCTGATGAAGTTGCGTTGACAGTAGTTCTTTTGGAAGACAGTCATCAGATGCTTTTCCTCATTTTTAATGCTTCGTATGTGCTTCAGTGTCTTCGCTCTCTTGAACAAAGTTTGTATGCAGTTGATCTTGTGGGTTCTTGGGTTGTTGCTGTCGTAGTTGAGAATTACGTCTGTGTGGGTTGGCTTGATTATTTTATCGTTATTCCTTTTTCTCACTGGTTTCGGCTTTGTTCCTTGTACTAATATGGAGATATCACAGTACTTCATGTGCTGATGATGTAGTTCAGAAGAACAATGAAAGCTCCACAACCAAAACAACCAGCCCAGAGAACAAAACACCACCACAATATTTTGTCCCTATTATATTGATCCTCAGTTGCATATTTAAACAAGAAACGTCTGGTATTTTAGAGATATATTAATATTTAGGCATAGATCACTACTATAGTTCAGTATTGTTGTATACTTCTAGGGATGATGGTGAAGATGCGGAATCGATTTGGAAAAGAGGATTTGTCAGTCGTACAAGTACTTTTGGATCATCTGGATTTCAAAATCATTCACCTTTTGAGTCTAGCTTTAAACCTGCAGCAACAACAACAACGATAGGAGAGCGACCAAAACTTAATTTACTTCCTCGTTCTACACCACGAAGTACAAATGAACAGCTATCTGAACGACATTCAAAAATATTTGGTGAAGCTCGACCAGTAGATACAGCTAGTAAAAACCGTGAAGTTGAACAACGACTAGCATCGACTGATCAAACTAGTGTCTTTTCTACAAATCATTAACTCCCTGTCTCTCTCTCTCTCTCTCTGTATTTTAATGTTCTGCATACATTAATTTTTAAGAATTTTTAGAAAATATTATGTATCACAACCCAGGATGATGGATGATGATATATTATTTCATTTTTTTTGCTGTTTATATCAACTCTTACAAAATTGTGAATGCAACTTAGGATTACTGTTATAACGATGTACTACTACTACTGTAAAGCTGTATCGTAAAGTTTCCTCTATATTTTTCATTATTTTATCGTTATTCCTTTTTTCTTTTTTTTTTCACTGGTTTCGGCTTTGTTCCTTGTACTAATATGGAGATAATCACAATACTTCATGTACAGGTATCACAGAGAAATTAGCTCTTGTAGTAGTAGTTGACACTTAAATTTCCATGAATATCAAGTGCTTGCATAACACAATGATCATGCCTTTGTGTTTTTTTTTCTCTTCTGATAATAATTAATTAGGATTTGATTACAGATAAAAAGGGATAAAGTCAAATAAGTTGGTGCTTTTTGATGTACTACATGAGAAAAAGGTGTCAGTCAGACGCAACGTAGAACTTCGTACGTAAGTACATCAATTCATGTTGCCATACCACATCAGCACAGAGATGTAATTGTCAATTCAAATCCAATAGTAGTAGAGGTAGTAAAGGTATTAGAAGTAATCGAAGAGGTTAGGATTAGAAGATATTACTCAAGAAGTATGATTAAATGAGAAAAGTTTAGAAAGTCAAAACTAGAGGTGTTGAAGAATCCAGAAGATTAGGGTTTGAGAGAACACAGAATAAATGCACTGGCGCCATTGTGAACGATTTTGAGCCATGTCATTCAAGGTCTCTAACCATCGATTATTATCATCTCGCAGACCCCAACCAGGTAGTCGACAATTACCGACATGGCTAAGTCCACTCATCAATGATTTCATGGATTTCTGCCATGTTTTGGTTTGACCGCCCCTAACTTTCTTCCAACCTACTCCTACACTACAAAACAAAGCTCGACGAGGCAGTCGTTGGTTAGGCATACGCAACACGTGTCCCAACCACCTCAACTGATGAAGTTTCAGCACTTCATCGATTGATCTGCCATTCTTACCTAGCACTCGATTCCTAATAACAGCGTTGCTTACTCGGGTGTCCCACGATATACGAGCAATGCCTCGAAGACACCTATGATCGAAAACCAGTAACCGACGAATATCTTCTACTCTCACTGGCCATGTTTCACAGCCATAAAGTAAGACGGAGCGAACTACTACTGCACAGTACAGTACACTCGTCCTTTAGTCAGCAAACGGATATCTCGCCTACGCCATAAGTGACGCAGGTTGGAAAAAGCCAATCGAGACTTCTGTATCCTTGGTGAGATTTCGTCAGTCACCAGGCCATCGGTACTGATGAGACTCCCGAGATAAGTGAAGCGGTATACACGCTCGACTACGTAGATCACCAATGTTGGCTTGATAAGATGGTTAGTTAGTGTGCTACTGAAGAGATGTTTACGAGGTCAGTCCAGTAAAGCGTAACGCGCTTTTACTTTTTTCTGTATATAGTGGTGGCTTAGTGCTTAAGGCACTTGAATTAACAATTAGATCAAAAGATCGAATTTCACTTTACGTATTTCGGTTTCGGGCAGCTGGGTAATATTGTAGTGAAGGAGAACACAGGTGATGGCAACCAAATTTTATTTAACGAAAATTACAGAGTTACTCAGTAAAATAGGAAAACCATATCGTAAACGGTTAATTTTCAAATCTTCAATCCATTGTCTGACATTTCAATTATTCATGCGTTTCATACAAATTCCATTGTGTTCCCACTCTTCCTTTCTTGATCTTCCCCCATCTTCTGTTGCCAGACATTACGTTTACACACGCGTCATATACTACTTGTAAGTAGCACGCACCACAACATCACTATCTTTAACAGAAAATTTGTAAACCGGAACTAAATACATAAATTGATAGGTCGAAAAATGTCTCTGTTTAGGTAAATATCCTTTAACGCCAAATGAACTTGTGTGCTAATGTATTAACTTGCTATATACCAATGTAAAGGAAAATTTTCTTCATTCTTTTGCGAAAAATTTGAATATCCCAAAGTCTACTAGTTTCTCCCAAAATATTCACACTAATTCCCGACCGAAGCTGCTACCTTGACGTGGTGGTCGGGCTTGCCTATCGTGCTGACCCAACCGAGCTATACTGGCTGGAACATATGTTGCTGCAGGTCCTACCATGCCAGGCAGGTCGATTAGAGAACGATGAGACTAAAAGCAGCTACCCAAGGTCTGAGGGCGAAGTCGTACTGCTGACTGACTGTAGAGGGGTGTGACAGCAGTAAGGTGTTTTCCTCGGACAACCAGCATCTGCAGCGATGCTGCCTTCTCACAAGGAAAGGAAGGGTTAGAAAAGGTCGACCCTAAAAATTTCACACCTCACCCTACCTCACGGATTTCCGTCTCCGGCGGTAAGAGTACCCACTAAAGGCTTTCAAGAGCGGAGCTAACACTCTAAAAACTTCTCATAAAAAGGCCGTGCGTGACCGGCCTCAAGCATTTGTCCCTTGGACTCTGCGGTCACGCACCCAGGTCTCCAAGACCAACACTAATCTGTCTTCCTTTTCAGGTCCCTCAAGAAAAAACCTTCCACGGTGTGGGCAGCCGGGAAGTGATAACCGCCCTCATACCCTCAACAGCACTGACTGAATTCCCGTTCCTATCATCACACAACAAACTCATCACATAATAACTTAGTGCTTACACATGGCCTGACATAATGCAATATTATCAAATAGTTTTCAGGCTTTCCACAAAATTTTATTACAATTAAACCAGGATGAGGCGTAATTATTGACATATATATAAATATACCTGAGGTCTAAAATATAATTACTGGATATTATGTGAAAAAGTGTTATACATATTATTAATTAAATAAACAAAATCACCATCTCTTATCATGTGTATATTCTTAGTATATTATCAGTACTTGTAATTATGTATAAATTCATATACACAACACAAAATAACTGATCTACCGCTCGATACAAATCTAATTCTCCACTACGTATAGATTAAGATTAGGTGTATACGAAGTCGCTACAATTTGTATTAGTTTTTGTGAGATATTTATTTGATTGACTGACTTGTTTTACGGATCATTTCCACGTTTCAAGCGTATCAGTTGTAGGAAAAAGGTCAAGAGACAAGTATACACATTCTCAGTAGGTTTTGTCTTTTAATCATAGAGGACTTAGTTCTTGATGAAAGTTGTGGCATTTATATGATGACCCGAACAAATGAAGTTCAAGTTGTCACGATTTACATCAGATCAACGATAGAGAATTAGGATAGAAGCTAGTGGATGAGAAGAACAGTGATAAATTGAATGAGGGGACCAATTAACTAAACTAGGGAACGAAGACTTCAATAGTAGTGCTGTTAAAGGTTACATAAATAGATTATTGCGCCCTCCACCAAGTGTAGGTTGCCATACTTAATTCATCAAAGAGTGACTTTCCTTCTTGACCAGCTGTGAATAATTTATCTTGCGTAACATCTCAGATCAAATTTTGATGGCTCTATCATATCTTAATACCAGTACGTACTAAAGCTATTAGTAGAAGCTGGGGCGCTTTAAACTTGCTCAACAGAGCATTCCTTTTGATCTTCAGTACTAATATCTGACTTGATATATCCGAACACTGAAAATTGGGTAGTTTTATAATGAGATCTACGATGACAAATCAGTGAAGTGTATATATCAATTAAGTCTGTATTTACTCTGTTAATATAGTGTGATACATCTCAGTATCGATACAGGTTTGTGAAAAGTACCAAACTATTTCATTAGCAAATAAATTGCACTACATAACTAGTAATATATGTAAAGTACGATGCTATTGGGGGTGGGTGTACTAGAAGTGAAGTGAATAATAATCGCTTCAATAAAGATTTTAACATAAGTAGGTCGGAAACCTAAGAAAACAGACTAAAGTAGTTGTTCAGGTCGGTCTATCGTTTAAGACCGCTAACAATAGCTATACTAGATTGCGGCTTGCTGGAGAGAAGTCTCTTACAAACACTCCATGATTCGCATTTGATTCTTTGTGCTTCTGGAGAAAACGAAGCCAATTTCAAACACCATATTGTGTGTACTCTAATTCTTTACTTTGGGTATTGCTACGACATATCTTTCTACCTTTGACATTGAGTGGAGTTTCCATCGTAGGAATGAACATGAAATGTTTATCAACACTCAGTGGGCCTTCTATATAAGCTTCAGCTTACAGACCCATCTATTTGATAAAACGTCGGGGATAAGTAAGTTTCACTCATCAGGAGTGAAATTGCCTGCCGTGCGCACTGTAAAGCTGATTAGAGTTCTATGCTGTTATTCTGATTCATGGTGACGAATGTGTTTTCGATACTACAGCAGCATGAATCTAGTTTTTTAATTACCTTATGAAAAGTTCCATAGGCGAACCCATTGCCATTGCACTAATCTACCTACGATCAACATTTTTAAGGATAAGATAAATATTTGAAATATCCCATCTGGCGGCACCCAGCGTGCGTTTCTGCGACATACTAGTAGTCCGGCTGTCGCTTCATTGCTGCTCTGCAAAAAAATGTACCGATAAGGTTTACCTTTGTACAACGGGTGGCTGTTTTCACCATGCGAGTAGCTACATTCAACTAAACTGACCAGCGACTGAATAAAATAAAACGTAGAAATCATCTACAGGATCGTGAATAATGTGTTCATAATTGGCCGATGTAGTGCATAGCCAACTGTCAATTCTCATTCATGTTGTTCTTGAACGCGGTCTACTGAGCCATCTTGATATGAGCATAATTCTCTATTCATCGCAAGCAAACACTTAATAGAACGATGGCGTAGCTTAACCTAGGAGAGAGCTCCGTCACTTTTGAAGAAGCCTCATTATAGATTTTTGGGAATATGACAACAGCTAAGAAATTTCTCCCAGTCTACATTTCAAAAACATTTTGGGAAACACATGGGACTTCAATGAAAAACCTCTGGGATTCCCACTGTATATGAACGTGGCAGCCGGTTGTTTGCACATAAGCATGTTTGCCGCCACATGCCCTCAGACATTAAAACCAGTTTAAGGAGTGACTTGCAAGATCTTTATACAATGAACAACTAAGTAAACAATTATTATTATTATTTAAAGATATACTGGTACAAAAGAAATCGGAAAATGTGTGCGCCACGCAACAAAAAAGAAGTTTTGAAGAGATAGAAAAATGACGGTGAGTATAAGAAAACGCAAATGAGTAAAAACTAGTATGTGAGAGTAGTAAAAACAATCGAGGAAGTAGTTTCATCAGTAGAAATACAACTAGAAAGATTTTGCTTAGTTAAAGTTCTTGCAGCAAGACCGCTACTAGTTTCTTCTCTGAACTTTGTGTGACAAGGTTTTAAGCCTTAAGCACTCCAACGGAGTCGTGA